GGTCAATGCTGAAACTCTTTAGGGATAGCTGTAGGGTGTCCTTGTACCGCTGCTTTGGTGCACCACAAAACACAGTTCTCCGTAGAAGATTTTATTCGGCAGGTGAGTGTCAAGCATTCATGAGAGGTGACTGGCCCATCTTAGCTGCACCAGTTTCAGTAAAGTGTGGATACTGAGGACAGCTGATCTTCCGAGCACCTCAGATCTAGAATATTGTCCTGCCACTTGATCTTTAGTATCTTTTGCAGGCAGCACAGGTGGAAGTGGTTTAGTTTCTTGGCATGACGCTGGTAGATGGTTTCACAGGGATAAAGGAGGGTTGGGAGAGTGATGGCTTTGTAAACCTTCAGTTCTGTCGTCATTCCAATATGTCTGTGGTCCCAGACTAACTTACAGAGTCTGCCAAGGCCACACTAGCTTTTGCTAGCCTCGCATTGATTTCATCATCGATGTGGACAGCACCAGAGAGTGCTGCCTAGATAGGCAAACTTGTTGAGCGTAGACAGTTGTTGGCCTTTAACTGAGAAGTGTGGTTCCTGGGCTGTAGTGCCAGGTGCAGGTTGAAACATCACTTCGGTCTTCTTTGTGTTGATAGTGAGTCCCAAGTTGTTGCAGGCTGACGAGAATAGGTCCATGCCAGCCTGTGAACCTGCGCATAACGCACAGTCATCAGTGAAGAGGAAGCTGCGAAGCATGGCCGTCTGGACTTTCGAGCTCACTCAGGTCCTGCGCAGGTATTATTACTAGTTGGCCATAAACTATGCATACAGGTAGTCTGTACTAAAATATCCTATTAATCTTCTCTTCTCTTCACTCCAGCCCTCATACTTAGAAATTGTGTGCATATATATCAAACCGTTTCAACCAGGGGTGGGTAAATGAAACCACAAATCCTTACATATTGCACATCCATCATACTTCCTAGCCAGTCAGCTTAGCTCAGGGGCTCTGCAGCCCTATACTCAGCCAGGCTCTGTACTTGCTTTGCCCTGAGCCCGCCCCCAGCAGGGCTCAAGGTGATCACATGCCCCTAGGGTACTAATGGGACCTCTAAACCTCCCCTTACAGTCCCTTCCACAAACCACCAGTATAAACTCTAATCAAATGACAAGCCCCCCTGGCTTTAGCAAAAACTCACTTCAGACTGGGTCCAAACCTAAGCCCTAGCCCATAGGGTATACAACCAGACTTCCTCCTACTTTGGGTTGTATTCCCCTGTACGCCATCAGCACCTTGTTAGCTGTTCCCCAGGGAGCTCTGCTGTCAGCAAGGCTCTCCTCTGCAGCTTCCAGGGCCAGCCTGCCTGCCCCAGCTTATATTTCTCCCAGGCCCTGACCCTTTCCAGTCAGGTTACTCCACAAGGTTGGCTGCAGGTGCCTTCTATTTTGGCTCACTACCTGGTCTCCATGGTAGCCTACTTGTAGCAGTGCTTTGTCTTCCCTGCAAGCCTCCAGCCTGAAGTCCTGCTGTGGAGCAACTAGCACTGCAATAGCCTTTCCAGGCATCATCCTATTGGGCTACTGCAGAGCAACCAGCTTTGCAGCAAGCACTCATTGTTCCTGCTTCCCTAAGCAATTTCTCCTTTGAAGTAGCAGAGAGTCCCAGTCTGTCTGTCACAAGACTCAAAAAATCCATGAAAGTCTTTTTTATAATAAGTAGCCAGTGTGAGCTATTAGAAGGTAACACAAAGAAAGTGCAACTGATGAGCTACTTTGTCTCAGTCTTCACAAAAAATAATATGCCACCAAATTACAGAGAGGAAAAGATGAGGGTCCTGATAACAAAAGAAATGTACTGAAGGAACTAGCAGAAGGGATCTGAGAGCCCTTGGCAGTAATACTTGCAAAGTTGTGGGAGAGCAGTGAGTTTCCAGAGGACTAGAAAAGGGCAAAGATCTTGCCTTTCTTCAAAAAACTCATAAATGATGATCTGGGGAATTATACACCAGTGAGCCTGACTGCAATACCTAGGAAGGCGAATGTAGTCTTGGGCTACATCAACAGAAGCATTAGCTGCAAGGCATGAGAGGTGTTAAGCCAATCTGATCAGTGCTGGTTAGGCCTTAGCTAGAGTATTGCACACAGTTCTGGCCTCTACCTTTTAAGAAGGATGTGGAGAAGTTAGAAAGGGTCCATATATGAATGACAAAAAAAAAAGATAAAGGTGCTGGAAGGCAAGCTGAGGGAAAGTTGAAGGAACTAGGTATATTTAGCTTCCAGAAGAGCCAGTAAAATGGGAGATGGTAGCAGAAGAGGAAGAGAGAAAACAAGTGTTCTTCCTTACTGCAGAAACAAGGTGTGAAGCAATGACTTTAAACTGCAGCAAAGTGGGAGCATTTACACATATAATTAATGCACAGTAATATACTCTGGCACATATCACACCAGAATTTATTGCTCCCGGGTGCCACATTTGCATATGCACGCAGGAATGCAGCACGTTGAGCTAGGTCAGAGCAGCCAAGGCTGCCAAGGTACCCGGGGGGCAGCCTGCCAGTCCAGGGCCGCTCCGTGCTAGCTCAACATGCTGCAGAGGAGCTGGCTGGGGTACAAGGGTGCTGCAGGGTGAGGCTAGTCAGAAGCCAGCCCCCATGCTGAAGTACCTTCATGCCCAAACCGGCCAAGTCAGTGTCTACATGTGCATTGCTACATGCTAAAAAACTCTGAAATAGTTATATCCTATGGCAGAGCTTATTCATTTTCTGCAGCCTAATAGGGCCATATGTGTAGATGCAGAGATATTTACTGTGGAACTAATGAGTCAGTTCTGCAGTAAACATCTCATGTAGATGCACCCAGTACATTTAAATTGAATTCAGGGGGTGTGTCCACACAGGCTATTAATGTGACTGAATAAACTCGGCACAGTTTGCACCAGAGTTTATTGCTCCCAGGCACCTTATTTGCACATATGCCCAGGACTCCAGCACGTTGAGCTGGGTCAGGGCAGCCCTAGCTGGCAGGGAGCCCCAGAAGTCAGCTTGCCAGCACAGTGCTGATCCAACCTGGCTCAACGTGCTGCAGAAGGGCTGGCTAGGGCATGAAGGTGACTCAGGGACGGGCTAGCCAGCAGGCAGCTCCTGCACTGAAGCACCCTTTTGCTCCAGCCAGCCCTATCAGCATCTACACATGCACTGTGGCAGAGTAAATAACTCTACCTTAGGATAGTGCTTGTGTCTGGCAGTACTATTTACAGAAGAGTTAATTAGTTTACTCTGTCCTAATAGCACCACATGTGTAGAGGGCAATGTTTTACCATGGAGCTAATTAGTTAATTCTGCAGTAAACATCTCATGTAGATGCACCCACAACAACAGAACTTCCTTGCTTATTCAGCTACTGCACGGTAGCATAAAAAAGGTGTCCATCGGCACTACTGTGCAGTAACTAGTTACTGTGCATTTACTTAGTACTTCATTAAGCAAGTACTAAAGTAAACGCACACTGACTTCTGCACATTAATGAGCGTGTAAATGTACCCAGTAAACCCTAAGTTTCTGGAAGAAAACTTAATATGAAGTGTGTTTCTAAAAGTCCTCAGTTTCCTTACCAAATCACCTTTTCTTGGGTTTTCCATAACAGGAGGAAGCAGTGACCCTTCAGGGGAAGTCGGTTCTAGATGGTAAGCCCTGGCATTTCCTCCTCGCATCAGTGAAGGCATACCATTGCAATCGTCTGTGCTGTTCCACTTGTCATTCTGTATGTGGTTTGGAGTAGCGGGATGAGAACAATGGCTCGCTTGACTTTGCACACTTGGGTGTCTTCCCATCCGTGCAACCAGCAATGACCCACGCTGAATTTCATTTTCCCCAGCAGTGCTGATCTCATCCTCACCAAAATCAGTTTTGGAGCCCACATCTATTCCAGGTATCTGGAAATTAAATACACTCCCATGGCTGGGCCTGCGCTTCATTTGGCTTACACTGGAGTCATAATTAACACCAAGGAGAGTCTAAAAGTCCAAGAAAAAGAATAAAGGTGAACAAGAGAATAATGTCATATAATACATTTCTTGGGAGCAATAAAAATGTTGAGTTCCTCCTTCAAACACAGGAAGTTCATAAGCCTCACTTGATATAAGTTACTTAGAAAGGACTTAATTTATATTTCAAAAGACAGTTATTAAAATCCTGCTAGCCACATTTCAGAAAAAAAATTCTTTTTCCCTTTTGCAAAGGGCTTTATAGGTTGTTGTTTAAATTCAGGTTCTAGTCCATTTTCATTTACCAATGTTGTCTATAATAATATATGCATTTTCATTTATAGTTTTATTGTAAAATTGTTTCTTTAATAATAAATACTGCAGTGAAGATTGAATCTCACTTTTATTATACCCTCGTATCTTCACACACAATTTAAGAGAAAGTTTTCTATTTTGGTTGAAACTTTATCATTCTTTGTTAGCCCAAAGGGGGTAGCTTTAAGGGATGAAGACAGTATATAATTTTAAAGGGATTTTGTTGTGCTTTTGAGCAATTCTGTTTTAGTACTAAAACTGACAAATCCACAGGGATTTCCTATTTAGATAATGAATTACCAACTTTCGGCGATTGTCAATGAACTGTGATTTGGGAAAATGTTGATCTTCCTCATGATCTTCTATTCCAAGAGACCTATTTTTCCTTCTCATATTCCTTCTGTCTTTGCTTTCTTTGGAGGGCAAAGGGGCCATTTCAAAGGAGTTAAATGATGCAGTATCATTTTCTCTGGCAGCTAATGCCTAAAATTAAAGAAACACAAACAGACCTGATATTGTACTTGTACAATTAAGATATCAGTCAGAGTAAAGGATTTCTGTGCTCTATAATTATTTCTTGTTTAACATTATTGTTTGAAAGACTTGTTTAAAATACCAGTACTCCATGCTTCTGGTCCAAGCTGGTCATTGCAGGATTAGGAATGATTTCCCCCTTTATATAGAGCATTGAACAATTAGTTACAGCAGATTTGTGTACTTATAGATACTGTTCCTGCTCGGAAGCAAAATATTCATTCTTCATCTCCTATCTTCCTATATTTATATTACTGATTTGTTTCCAGTTAAAATACGCAATTTTTAATTGAGTCAGCAGAGCTATCCATTTCCCAAAACATCTTAAAAACATTAAAATCGCAACTGCTTGGGTATCTTCAGGACTGCAACAACTCAGCGATCAGCTGTCCTTTTTATGTGTTGATAAATGGAAGTTAACAGGAGTCTTGTAAATCATTCAATGAGCTGTATGTCAAACTCTCAGCTGTCAAAGAAGAGAATTATTGTAAATTTCTACATCCATGTAACACAACAGTGGAGCAAAAAAAAAAGTGCATATCCTTGTATCCTTTTGGGCACTCACAGTTGATGGAATTTTAGACTATCTGGCCTGTCCAATCCCACTTTGTTTACAGTGCCCTGGATTTATTAATAAACTGCAGGAAACTCCCATAGCTACAATTCAGTACTCACAGCTATCATTTATTGGTGATCAAGTAATTATTCCTATTGGTTTAGGAAACTATGATAACTTTGAATAAGGTAATAGCTAGAACTTGTCCTCCCCAGTGACCATCACATCATTACTCATAGGTGATGCATAGGGAGGGCATGGGGGGGTGGGGCATGTGCCCCCCCTGAGATTGGCCACCACTGAAGCTACCGGAGGCTTCTGCGGGTGATCGCCACTTGCCACCCCTGCCCCTTGCCGCTGGCACCAGCATCTGTGAGCAGTCCCTGCTCACCACCCCCTTCCTTACCCCCTCCTCTCCCACTGCTGGCAACTGCGACCAGTCCCCACTTGCCACCCCCCACCACCAACCCTGCCTCAGGTTACTGCAGCCTGTCCCCACTCACTGCTACTGCTGCCACCTACAAATGGTGCCCACCCCCCAGTCTTGGGAGGCACCAGTCATTCATCTCATTGTTTATGCATGCTCAAAAGATAAGACTGATGAATTCCACTTGTATATGATGCATATAGAGACTGTCCAACACTAGCAAGGCAATAACATATTCACCTCCTGTTCTTTCTTTAATAGTTCCATGGCTTCCCGAAACTGCCTTTCCTTTGCCTCTGTTTCAGCAATAGTAGCTTTGTTCTGATCTTCATATGCCATAGTTACTACAGCCAGGATCAAGTTGACCAGATAAAATGAGCCCAGAAAGATGACCAGCATAAAAAAGAGCATGTAGATCCTCCCAGAAGTTCTGAGAGTCTGTAAGCACAAAATACATGTTGAAGTAAGGAATCTGAGAGACAATACAAATTTAATGAGATCATTTAATGGATGTAAGACAGCATATAAAAATAAGAAAACATTATTCAAGTATGTTTTTAAAAAACCTTGGTCACTTTTCCACACTACTGAGTGAAATGTTTTAAAGCAGCTTAATGAGAATGCTGCCCTACATGGGCTTTTTTTCCCACTTCCTCCCAAAATCTAATAACTTTGTTTTGTGATAACCAGGATTGTTCAGTTGAGGTGAAAAGGAGCCAAATATCTGAAGGAGGAGGCTCTGCTGTGCTGCTAGAGCAGAGCATGGTGCCATTTCAGTCCTTCTCACACATTCCCTTGGGTGGGGAATTAAGTAGAAGCTCATTATAGTCATGTAGCTGTGTATCCCTTCAGATGGATGTTACTTAGATAACATGCAACCATCATTTCCTTTTAAACTTTTCTGCTCTTTAAGTACTTCAGGCATTTATATACCTGGTTGACTGATTTCTTTTCTTACTGGTAAATAAGTACATTTGATACCTGCTGATAGAGACGTTCCCAGTAATCCTGTGTCATCAGGCGGAATAATGAAAGAAAGGCCCAGCCAAATGTATCAAAGCTTGTATAGTCATAATCAGGGTTTCTCCCAACTTTCAGACATATGAACGTCTCTGGGCAGGTACTACAGAGAATGATAAAAAGGGGTGAAAGCTTCAAGTGTGCAAATTTAAGGTCAAATAGCTTCAGATCAGTGAAAGTTCATATTATACTCAACTATATATCCAGCTATATTACAGGTGACTGACTATGGGGACCCAATTCTTTCATGAGACATGCAGTGGGGGGAACAACAAAGTAGAAGGCCAGATAGAATAGTGAAATGCACGCACACATGTACAAGTTGTCATTTTATGTGTTGTAGGCCTCAGATGTGTTCAGTGACTGTAACACCAGACTCTGAACCTAGCATAAGCCTAAAATATGGCAGGATGCACTTAAATTTGCATTTTAGCCAGAAGCAGTAGCATGGGAAAGCAGAATAAAGTTTGTTGGTCAAGGTTACCAGTACTGACCTTAGCCCAAGTGCAAATAATTGCTTTTTTGGAAAACTCTAATAGTAGTTAGATGTAACAACTGTAATAACTTGATGTTTTATCTTTTGATGAGAAAAACTGGATTATGTGCAGCCAGTTAGATTTCTGTTAAATGATAGTGTGTTTCTCTTGACTAGATAAGGTAAGGTGGAAATGTATAATCACTTGATGCCAGAACAGATCATTCCCAAGTGGCTTATGTTAAACTACAAAAGGCATGTCTACACATGCATTGACTGCACAGTAACTTACTGCGCAGTAACTTACTACGTAGTAAGAGGTTTTTAGGCTGGTGTCTACATGTGAAGTCATTAATGTCTTAAGGCATTGTAATGTGGTTCAGTGGATGACTACGTCAGCCAGCCCTGCTCAGCACCCTAGACAGTCCCAGCCCTGGCTCTAACCACCTTTCCATGTTCCTGCCTTCTGCCCAAGGAAAGCAGGCTAGAGCCCAGTGCGCAGGGCAGCATGCTGTTGCTGGGTGCCGTGGTGCATGCTACTGCAGATGCTGGAGACGCAGGTCTGGCAGCAGGGAAAAGCCCGTCCGCAACTCCCTGTAGGGGAAGGGAGCAGCACAGCACAGGCAGGGCTGGGGCTGCACTGTCTGTCTGCAGAGCCCAGCACTGCTTTTCCTGCCCCACAGAGTGACCCCAGCAGGGTTGGGGCTGCATCTGTTCTCAGTTCCTGGTGCCAGGTTCCCTGCAACACCTACCTCCACCCCAGGCACACGTCAGGCTTCCCTGCCACCAGGACACTGCCTGTGAGAGAAGCAGCATGCACTGCTGGGGGCTCCACGTGGTTCAGCCCCTGCTCATGCTGCTCCCAGCTTCTTTCAGTGGCAGTGTCCTGGTGGCAGGGAAGCCTGGCGCATTCCTGCAACAGAGGTAGGTGGAGCAGACATAGCCCCAACCCTGCCTGGGCTAAGCCAAGCAGGGTGGCTCACTCCATGGGGCAGGGAAAGCAGCACTGGGTGCTGCAGACAGATGACGCAGCCCCAGCCCTACCCATTCTGTGCTGCCCCCTTCCCCTGTAGGGGGTCACAGGGGCACCTTTCCCTGTTTCTGGAACTGTGGCTCCAGAGTTTGCAGCAGCATGTGCTGTGGCACCTGGAGACGGTGCACCACCCTGCGGGCTCGGCTCAGCCAACATAGTGTTTAAGGCAACTAATGCAACATTATGTCACCCTACACGCCCAGTGTTACTGCACAGTAACTAATTGGATGTAAATTTGATACCTGCATCGAGCTTGATGCAGATATCAAATTTATGCCCAAGTCGGCATACGTGGCCATAGTTACTGCGCAGTATGGGCATACACATGTAGATGTTGCCCATACCACACAGTAATTTTTAGGTTACTGTATAGTAGCTGTGTGTGTGTAGACATGCCCAAAGTGTAGCTAAAACAAGAGACCCCAAAAGCCTTTCTTTGAGGGAACTCAGAATTGAATTTTATGGAAATGATACCTAGCCTTGTCAGCAAAGCAAAGAAAGCAATTAACGTGTCCAGCTGAACCATCAGATGAAACAGCACAAGGCCTGAAATCAAACATTATAAAAGGAAGCCTTAAAGTAGATAATCCAAACATACTGCATCATGGCTTTAACATAAGCATGTTAGCAGTAGTGACTGATGTAACAGAAGTATTGAATGCAGTTTTATAATAGATATTTGAATTATGATTCTTGGGTAAGTTGTAAAAACAAAGCAACCTTTTCAGTGAAGATCATAAACCAAGGTCAGAAAGAAATCAGAGTGCTGGCATATAACATTCAATGACAGTGAAGGGAAGGAGAAAAGAAGTTCTTCCTTCTACAAGTAACCTTCATAAGAACATCAACTCAAACTAATTGACACCTTCCAAGTCCACATGAGAACTACTTCAATCCAGTTCAAAAGTTTCACTGAAACAAATTTAAATAAAACCAATCACAGAAAAATTTGTTAGAATATTAGAACAAGTCCTCTATGACCATAGGGTAACAGCTACAGGGAAAAGGGGAGACTTTCACAAATTCAAGAAGCCCTGCTGCCAGTCTTAGTGCCATTTCCTGAGTCTCCCCAGCTGGTGAGAATCTGAATTATGCTGTATTACATTATGGGGGTTGCTAGTTAAACATTAAAATAAGTGCTTGGTCTTGTGCTTTTGGGGTGTAACAGTAAAAGTCCAGACTATAGATTTGCCTCTTGCCTCTTTTCTGACTGGGTGGTGATACGTAAGGGAATATTAATTGGACATAATTTTGCATTTATTAGGTAATCATTAAGAGAATTGTGTAGCTATAACTTAATTCTGTGTCTCCGGTTGCAGTAGAGGTGATGATCATAGATGGGAGGTAGTCTTGTCTCTAAAGACTGAACAATCCAGAGTTTTTGTAACAGTATCTAGAAGGGCAGATCTGGGGGGTCACTTACACTCCACTTCCCCTACTGCACTTTGATTTCTGGACCACCCAAAGTTTAAAACCAACTGCCTGGCAGTGTCAGCAGCATTTCTAGTCAGGCAGACCTGAGGGAGTCAATTTACTTAACGTCTCATTATAATCTACCTGATCCCTTCTAAATTCTTAATTTCCCGCCAATCAAGCTACCCTTTATTCTGCTCTGTCAGCTGCTCCTGGTAATGAAGCACCTATTTCACAGCCCCACAGATTGTTTTGAACTCATTCCAAGAACATAAGAACATAATGTTACCATTTACCGGGTCAGATGGCAAGTCCATCCTGCCCAGTCTCCTGTGACCACCATGGGGTGCCACCACTTTCTGCTGGCTACTGCGGTGGCTGTGGTGCAGGGGGGGCTGGGCTGCTGGTGATGGCGGCACCCTTCTCCTCAGCAGGGGCCTGTAGTGCCCTGTGAGAGTCCAAAGGATACTCACCTGGAGTTCAACCCCTCTATGCCAGTGCTCTCGAGCCATTCCTCTGCCTCCTGCACAAGTGGGTGGTGGAGCTGGTGCCTGAGGAGCCAGCCCTGTGGGTGGTTCTGTCAGTGTATGCCAATGACATGCTCCTCACCATCCAGACCCGGAAAACCTGGTGCAGGTGGAGGTCTGCCGGTCCATCTACTCAATGGCCTCCTCTGCCTGGGTCAACTGGGTCAAGAAGTCTGGCCTGAAAGTGGGTGATGGATGGCAGGTGGGTTCACTCCCACCTGCACTCCAAAACATCCAATGGACTTCAGGCTCACTGCTCTATCTGGGGCTCTACTTGTCCCCCAGTCACCTTTCCCCACTGGAGAACTGACACCAGCAAGAGATAGGCTGTCTGAGAAGTTGCAGGCATGGGTGGGCCTGCTGCAATGTCTCTCCCTTCATGTAAGAGCACTGGTTGTCAACCAGCTGGTCCTGTCCATGCTATGGTACTTTCTCAACACCCAGATGGTGCCCCTGGAGCGCCTGACCAATCTCCACAGATGGGTGTTGGGGCTCTTCTGGCTAGAATGGCACTGAGTCTCCCCAGATGTCCTGAGCATCCTCTTGTGGGAGATTGGGCAAAGCCTGTTTTGCCTCCACAGCCAGGTCTATACCTTCTTCCTTCATGCCCTATAGAGGCTTTTGTACAGTGCTGGTAGCCAGGCAACGTGGTACCTGATCAGCCCAGTGGTGTACTGAGGGTCCCTGGTGCCTGGGGGCCAACACCTGCATTTGCACCTCCCCCCTCTCCCCGGGACAATCTGAGCATGGTGCAGGGCCCAAGGCAAATCAGCTTGTACGGGACCCCACCTCTCACCCCGTGGCAC